AATTGAATTGCAAATACCAAATAGAGTAGTTCATATTATTACAACTTTCTAAATTGTTTATTCATGAAAAAGAAAAAAAAAGTAAATGGGGTTTGGAACTTTCTTATATTTTATATAGATTGTTTGTTTTCTTGTGTTTAATGTTATTATATAAATTGAATTGGAATTTCTAACAGATCGAATTGGCTAGATAAGGCACACTTAATTAAATTAATTATTTTAAAAAACTTTCAAGAAAAAAGTAATAAGTTATATGCATATTTATATCAAAGAATATTATTTATGTAAATATATGTCCACAATTACACTTATATAAGTATTAAAAATATAATCAAATATATATAAAATAAAGATGGTGTTCCAAAAATTATGTCAAAGTTTGGAAGCAAAGGAACACTTTTTCCTTTTCACACAAAACAAAAGTCAACGGTAAATTGACAAATCAAGGGCTCAAAAGGAATTTTCTTTATAAATAATTAAGTACATTAAAAATATATAATTGAACTTTTGGCTATTTATAGTGTTCAGATATTAAAATATTAATTTTATTATTACTATGAAAGTTTTTAATAACCGCGCGCGGATATTTTCCCTAGTATATTTATTAATTCTATTCATTGACCAAAGAGCTAGAGCACGGATAAAATCCCATTAAACCGAAGCAGTATCGTGACCAACAATGAGTTTTGGCCGTTTACTTGACAGCAAATTAATATATTATATACATTAGGAGAGAATCACTCCTAAATAGAAAGGTAAAGCCAAAGACCTTTTGTAAGCTAATTAATTATTAATTTATTATTATTATTATTATGTGTTTGCTCCTTACCACAATTCACAAAATATAAGTTACTATTAATTCCCATTCTGTCAAACCATTATACTGTCACCGTCAAATTGTAATCAAATCCTCCTTTTTTTTTGGTATTAGGATTTCATCGTTTTACAGCCGCCGCAAAATTTCAGCGACAAATAGGTTAACAATAGAGGTTGCAATCTAAAAATCAGAACAGTGGGGCAATTTCGAATTTTTTTCTGTGCCGCCGTCCATAGGAAAAGGATCGACGACTTTTCAACTCCTTTTTGATGGAAACTTAAGATTAATTTTTTGATCTTAAACTCTAATTATGGTGGCTCTAATACTAACGGTAAGTTAATTAATTTGTACCAATAGCTGAAATTAAAACACAATCATAATCTTGAGTTAGAATTTAAGTAAGTGTACCGTTCAACTCCATTGACATAGTAACAATAATAATCGACGTTTAAATATGAGATCAACTTTCACGATCTACTAGCTACACACTCTCACAGTTCGAGGAACTTCACTGATGAGACGTCTAATGTAATCACGTATTCAAGAGGCAAAATACGCTAGAATTTTCTAATGGAAAAATGACATTTTATAACCGCTCTAAAAATAATAGCCGAAAAATATATATATTTTTTTGTATATTTTTTGTATATATATACATTCTGTATGTTATATACCGAAATTATATAAATTTTATACACATTTCCGGCTACCGAATTTAAATAATTTCTGGTGCGGGCTAAAAGTGAAAAAAGCCCTTTTCTAACAGCTAGGGAAGGAGGAGGGGGGTTGGCCGCTATTTATAAAGAGTGTCTACCCATCACATGTCCACTGTTATTGAGCCTCACTTATCCACACATATAGTATCTAATATTAGGCATTTTATTTATCCACCACTTGGGTCACGTCACTATATTTTCAGTTTATAACCAAAAGTCCAAATTCCAACAAAAAGTAGTTGTAAATTTTATGCACCATACTCTCATTTGTGCGTTAAAGGACAAAAATACCAATTATTTGAATGCAAGAAATATAAAGATGATTATTGATTCCAAATTTCATAGAATTTTGAACTTACAAAATTCTCGACTCTCTCACACATGTAATCAATAAAAAGAAAAGAAAATTATAAGAAACGAAGGGAAAATACATATAATAATCCACCAGCTACATAAGCAAAATGAGGAAAGATCAACGATCAAGCAAAAATATTAGAGGTACAAAAATTGAACGAAAATTCTCAACACTTGGGGAGGTCTTTTGGGGGAGGAGGTAGCTTCTGATTAGGAAGTTTTCCATCTAGAACCAACCATGCCATTTTCAATCCCCAACTTGTGTGAACTTCCAGGTGACAATGCATAAACCATACTCCTGATTGTAACACAAACAACATTATATCGGATTTATACTTAGACTTATAATTGAATGAATGATATTACTAGACTTTTTAATTGCAAAACTTTTAAATTACCTGGATTGTCTGCTAGAAATCGAATTGCAACCCAACCACCAGAAGGAACACCCACAGTGTTCCTCTCAATAGGGTCAATAAGGTTGAAATTTGCTGGATCCTTATTGCCGTCAAAATTCCCAAAGCCTTGGCCAACGACAAAGAAGTTAAATCCATGAAGATGAAGAGGGTGACTCTCAGCACCAAGAATACTTGTGTCTTGCATCACTAACTCCACGCTCGTGTTAAATGGCAAAACC